GTCTGCTAGGGAGAGGTTTCCATACTTTTATACATAATGTTTTATTCTCCTCCCTAACTCACAATTTGTCTCCATTACTTTTATGGTTTTATGATACAGAACATGCGTTTATGTGGTTCTTCTTTTTATGTAACCTGTCATGATGTATGGCTAGCCGTTTATGTGCAAGTTTTTTAGCAAAAGTAGAAAGCAAGCATTAAAGAGAAGTGGATGCTTTTTACTGTACACCTTTGGTGTTGTTTACCAGTTCCAAGTTGTACTACGGCCCACTTCACAAATTCCTTCTGTCGCTTGTCCCCTTTGTGCTGATATCACTTAATTAATTGCAATCAGGTACGATGCTCGAGCCGGATTCTGGGGAGTCATGGGCGGACCTTGTCTTGGCATAATTCCCGTAAGATTGAAGCCTAAGCCCACCGTTAACCAATATTGTCTTTTTTGGGTTTTGCCTTCTGAGCTTCGGCTGTTACATTTAAGTCGATGCATTGTCCTGTGTTTTGATACTTTGCAGCCTTTCATAGAAGAATTCGACTACCCCATGCCAGAAAAGTGTGCTGGAGGGAATACTGGTGTTTTTGTGAATGGCAGAGAGCTTCACCTAAAGGACCTGGATTTGCTTGCTGGTAGAGGGCTTCCCACTTCAAGACACAGATCATACATTATTGAAATCTCGGGGCGAGTCCTTGACGAGGACACCGGAGAAGAGATGGAAGGCCTCGGAAAACTCGCTCCGACGTAAGTGCCAGTGCGAAACCAATACACTTTTGTTTGTTTATGCTAATAATATACTCATGGGGCTTTCTAATCTGTTAATGCTGCTAATTAATATACACCTTTTTTTTTGAATCAGAGTTGAGAAGGTAAAGCATGGATTTGGCATGAAAGTTCCAGGAACAGCTTGTTAATCAACAGAACATCATTGTATGGGGCAGCTAGTTTGTCTGTTGTCTAAATTACCAGCGTTTGTGTTATCTGTTCTGTTACCTTAGTTAGTGTCTGTGTTCCATGTCCTGAATGTGTCTGTAAATGGTTGATTCCTTCCTTCCTTCCTTCGAGCTGTATTCATCTGTTGATAAGTTACTGAGTTTTCCATCATTCATTCTTCAAAGAAAAAATGAAGTCCTTTTGGTACTGTGTTTAGACAAGAGTGTCACAATATGAAGGGAGCTAAGCCAACTTAGGTTTGCATGTCTTTAGACAAGCATAAAAAAAGAAGGGTAGTTTTGTCTTTGAATGCTTGAAGCATGGTATCCCTTAAGACGAGGAGAGGAGTCCGGTCACAGTCATCGTGAGCGTGACAGGCGGTGATGTTGGAATTTCTTTCTGAAAACATGTAACTTTGACGACAGTACATGAGCAAAAAAAGAAAAGAAAAAAAGAAAAAAGAAAAGGAATAAAGAAAAAGAAAAAGGGTTCTGTTGAGTCTAGAAGAATGTATTTTTAACTAAAGATGCTTTTTTGAAATCAGTCCAAACCTTTTTTAAAATATATATAAAGCTAAAAAGCCTCCACGTAAAATTCCTTTTTACCCTGGTAACAGCTTTTACTTTTTACTTCTTAATTTCATCCAACTGCGGGGTAAAATCTTATAGTATATAGAAAATTTATCTCTTTTTAACTACGGGATGTGTTTTGAGTAAGAGCCTGAAAGATTAAAGTTACATTTTTCGAGTATAATAATATATATATATATATAGAATGTTTGAAAAGAAATACTTTGAGTATTCCACGTATGTGTTGAATTTATTGAGGAGATGATGTATGAACGGAAAAATGAAACTTTGGTTTTTTTAGTTTAATTGTTATTTTAAGAAATAAAGTAGTGGGCCAACTAAATTTGAAATAAATATATGGTTATTCACTTATTACGTGTTTTATTTTTAATATATTTTAAATTTGTAGAAAAGTCAGGCGGAAATAAATGAGGGTCTGCCGCCCTCGTTGACAGGCCGAGCCGTCGTCCCTTACAAAAATCTGTGAACCAACAAAGACAACAAGCCCACCTAAAGCATCCATGGTTCGAAGCCCTAAACCCACACACAACACGCTCACCGAATGATGATTTACACGTGGGACCAAGTCAAATAGTTATGTATAATGTGCATCTTTTTCTAGATCAATCATGTACCTTTCGAGATTAAGAAATGATTGGAAAAACTTTCCTATCTTCATTCGTGTTCATTATGACATGCGTCATTTATACTCCATTAATGTCTTTTCCTTCGCATCCACCCATGTTTTGTTTTAATTTTGTAATGGCCCATGTTTTCACGTATGACAAAGAGGTATTGTTTATTGAGTTTATACCTGTCCAACAAGTATCTTACCAATATTGTAAGGTGTGAGATCTCACATTGATCCAAGAGAGAAACAAAAACATAAACATTTATTACAAGAGTATGAAAATCTTTCCCTAATAAACACGTTTTTAAAACCTTGAGAGAAGCTCGAAAGGGAAAGCCTAACTAAGACAAAATTTTATGACAGTGGGCTTAAGTTCGATATTGTTGATTTAAGAATGACCCATAAAATTTTTACCCGTGTAAAGTTAAGGCCTTTCCAACAAATATCAAGGTTGTTTGGTGTAGTAACTAATTAACTCTTCTTGCTCAATTTAAAATTTTGGGAGCCTTTTGTGAGTAAAGTTATGAGAGTTTATGTTGAAGGTGGATAATATCACATTGTTGTAGAGAGTCAACCAGAATAGATTAAATAAAATGTTAATATCAACCAAAATAAGGATGAAAGGTTTATTTTTAAAAATAATATATATATGTAAGCTTCTAGTAGATGAAGTGTTTTAGACGTCATTTTTGACGTTAGTATCAACCCAATAATGCATGGGCGTGCTCCAAGAATGACTTGGGCCATGAACCACGGCTCAATTTTATAAGGAGCTCTAAGGCATAAGGCTTACGTTTGATCTGACATCACCTGTTCTTCTCTGTTCTTTCCACCCCTTTGCTGCCTTCTATATAATTCCCCTCTTTCCCCTTTCCTTCATTCATCGCATTTCAAAATTCAAACCCACTCTCTCTTCTCTACTTTTCCTTCCTTTTCTATTAACCATAACCACCGCCGCCGCCTCCATGGAAGCTCCGCTTTCCATCCCTCATCTGGCTCTTTTACCAAGCCCTGGAATGGGCCATCTCATTCCACTCATCGAATTCGCCAAACGCCTTCTCTCCCACCACCGTTTAACCATCACATTCGTCATCCCTTCCGATGGTCCGCCGTCCACGCCTCAAAAAGCCGTCCTCGATTCTCTCCCTGCCGGCATAGATTACCTCTTCCTCCCGCCGGTTCGCTTCGACGATCTCCCCGATGCTTCCAAAATTGAAACCATCATTACTCTCACCATTTCTCGCTCTCTCCCTTCTCTTCGGAACGTACTCAAATCCATGGTCGCTAATTCCAACCTCGTCGGCTTGGTCGTCGATCTTTTCGGCACCGACGCCTTCGATTTAGCCAAAGAATTCAACATTTCTTCTTATATGTTCTTCCCCTCCACCGCTATGTTTCTTTCCTTTGCTCTGTTTTTACCCAAACTCGATGAATCCGTCGCCGGCGAGTTCCGCGACCTCCCCGAGCCAATCAAAATCCCGGGATGTATTCCGATTCAAGGCAAAGATCTGTTGGACCCAGTTCAAGATCGGAAGAACGAAGCCTACAAATGGACGCTTCACAACGCGAAGAGGTATGCTTTAGCAGATGGGATTTTTCTCAACAGCTTCCAGGAATTGGAGCCCGGAGCAGTAAATTGTCTGCAAGAAGAGGAAGAAGGGAAGCCCCCTGTTTACCCAATTGGACCATTGGTGAAAATCGACGCAAATGAGAAGGAAGAAAGGGCAGAGTGTCTGAAGTGGCTGGACGAACAGCCACATGGGTCTGTTCTGTTCGTGTCATTTGGAAGCGGTGGCACTCTGTCGAGCGATCAAATCAACGAATTGGCATCGGGATTGGAAATGAGTGGACAGAGATTCATATGGGTTGTTAGAAGTCCAAGCGATAAAGCCGCAAACGCCACCTATTTCAGCGTCCAAAGTCAGAGTGATCCATTGGCTTTCTTGCCAGAAGGGTTTGTAGAGAGGACCAAAAACAGAGGCCTGGTGGTGCCGTCGTGGGCGCCGCAGGCTCAGATCCTCGGGCACAGCTCCACCGGCGGGTTTTTGACACACTGTGGATGGAATTCAACTTTAGAGAGCGTGGTTAATGGGGTTCCTCTGATTGCTTGGCCGCTTTACGCAGAACAGAGGATGAACGCAGTGATGCTAACAGAGGAGATTAAAGTGGCGTTGAGGGTGAAAACAAATGAGAAAAATGGGATTGTGGAGAAGGAAGAGATTTCGAAAGTGGTGAGATCGGTGATGGAAGGGGAAGAGGGGAAGAAACTGCGTCGGAAAATGAAAGATTTGAAGGAAGCAGCTGAGAGAGTTGTTGGAGAAGATGGGTCATCCACCAAAATAGTGAGTGATGTGGTAAACACGTGGAAGGCCAGAATTTCCACGTAGGAAAATAAGATTAATTTTTCTTTCCTTTTGTTGCATTTAGAAATCCTCTGTGTTCTTCATTTATTCATCTAAAAAAATGTCGCTCGTTTTACTTGGCTACAAGGATGAAAATGTCTAATTTAAATTTACGGATATATCTATGTGGATATTTGGATATGGACCAATATTCTAGTAAAAAACACTGAAAGAAATAAACAAAATGATATTTTTTACAGAAACAGAAAAAAGAATTAAAAATTATAGCATTATGCGTGAGGGAAATATTATTATAAAATATTTATAATAATGAATTAAGTATAATTTGATTAAAAGGAATCGATGAACTGAAAATGGTAATAACAAAATAAAGAGTGGTAGAGAGAGATGGCGTGAGGTGCGGAGTGAAGGAGAGAGGAGGTTCCCACATCGGAAAAATTCTGAACATGAGAGCCTTAATGGCTATAAATAGGTTAAAATGGAGAACGAGATACCGAAAAAAATATCTTCAATTTAGCGACACTTGTAAGATCTTTGCGACATGATGAGCCTCCCTCCCTTTCATGTGAGGTATCAATGAATGCAATAATTGATTACTCATTTATTTTGCTTTTTATCCTTTGGTGTTATTTATGGATACTTTATCCAACCTAATAAGTAGCTTGTCGTCTATTCATTTTGCCTTCAAACAATTTATTATTCTCTATTTTATAATTTTATAGTTTTAGTTTTTTATCTTATTATTTCTATAAAAAAAAAATTATTTGATAAAAATTATAATGTCGTTTAGTATTTTATTTTTTTTATAACTTTTTATTAGCTTTCAACAGGTTTATTATATCTTCAAGTTTTTTATTTAATAAAGAAATATCATAACTACATTATAAAAATACATTTTAAGAAAAATATTTTTAAAAAACTTAATAACTTATTCTACAAAATAATGATTTACATTCAAATCTCAATAAAAGGAATGATCTAAATTATGTCTTGTCAAATTTTCACGGACCAAGTATCTGGAGCCCATCTTTATCGTTATTATCATTGCTTATTCCCTTGCCAAAGAAGTATTCTTTGTTTTCTTTATTCTATAAGTTTTGTGGAGAATCATACATGCTTTGCATCTTATCTTATACTTTTTAAATCTTATTGATAAATAAACGACACTTGGCCTCTCTCCAATGTTCCATCTTTAAGAAAGAAAAAAAAAAAAAAAAAACTGAGTATTTATTTATGAGTTCAATAAAAAATTTGAAAATTTGACATTTTGGTTACCAAAATATTATGTCCAAGTAGGCATAGTGTACAAATATATTTAGGTTTGCTTTTGTTTTTTATTTGGATATAAATAAAGGTTTTTTACCATATCAAATTAATAATAATTTTTTTTTTGAAAAAAAACGTTAGTATAATTCAAAAAATTACTAAATTTCATCACTTAAATTTATTGAGATTTTTTATTTAAGATTGTGGTCAGTTCCATTTAAGAAAAAAAATTAAGTAAGAAGGAGTCAAATTTATCACCTACCAAATGTTTTAAAAAAACAGAACATAAAGAAGAAAATCCGTCATTTTTTTTAATAAAGTTTTTGTAAGGATGTCAGAATTTAATAAGTTATCTCGAGGAACAGGCTTGATATTCTGCCAATTCATGTCTTTATATTGGCCATTTTTCTGTGCTAATCCGGCAACCTAATCTCAATCCCTCCTCCGCGCCTCTTTGATTCACAGCCACAGCCATGGAAGTTTCCCAGACAGACGGCGGAGCTCAATCTCCATCAGTCCACATAGTGATGCTTCCAAGTCCAGGTATGGGCCATTTAATCCCTCTCCTTGAGTTTGCCAAACGCCTCCTCACCTTCAACCACCATTTCACCATCACCTTCGCCATCCCTTCCGATGGCCCTCCTACCACCGCCCAAATTTCCGTCCTCTGTTCCCTCCCTCCCCAGATCCGCCACGTCTTTCTCCCACCCGTTTCCCTCAACGATCTTCCCCTCGATTCGAGAATGGAAACCATCATTACCCTCACCGTCGCTCGCTCTGTTCCTTCTCTTCGAGATCTCTTGAAATCCATGGTGGCCGATACTCAAACTAACCTCGTTGCCTTGGTTGTCGACCATTTTTGCATCGACGCCCTCGATGTGGGTAAGGAATTTAACCTCTCCTCTTGTATTTTTTTCCCCTCTACTGCCATGGCTCTCTCCGCCAATCTCTGCTTAGCGGAGCTCGACGAAATGGTCACTGGAGAGTACAGAGACCATCCCGACCTGATTCGAATTCCAGGATGCACTCCGATTCATGGGAGAGATCTATTCGAGCCGACTCAAGATAGGCAAAACCAAGCCTATAAATTATTTCTCCAAAATGCAAAAAGATTTCGATTCGCAGATGGCATTTTTGTGAATAGCTTCCCGGAGTTCGAGCCGGGCGCCATTAGTGCTCTGAAATTGGCAGAACCCCCGATTTACCCCATTGGTCCAGTGGTGAAAATGGATGAAAATGGCAGTGGTGAAGGTGCAAAATGTTTGAATTGGTTGGATGAACAACCACATGGGTCTGTCCTGTACGTGTCGTTTGGGAGTGGGGGGACTCTATCCAGCAAACAAACCGTGGAGTTGGCGATGGGATTGGAAATGAGTGGGGAAAGATTCCTATGGATCGTCAGAAGTCCCAACGACGAGTTATCAAATGCATCCTATTTCAGCGTGCATTCACGAAATGATCCATTGAGTTATCTGCCGGAGGGGTTCGTGGAGAGAGTGAAAGGGAGGGGGCTGTTGGTGCCATCATGGGCGCCGCAAACTCGAATCCTGAAGCACCGCTCCACCGGCGGGTTTTTGAGCCATTGCGGGAACAATTCAGTGTTGGAGAGCGTAGTAAATGGGGTTCCTCTGATCGCTTGGCCGCTTTATGCAGAACAGAGAATGAACGCTGTGACGCTAACAGAGGAGATCAAGGTGGCGCTGAGGCCGAAGGTGAATGAGGAAAATGGATTTGTGGAGAAGGAAGAGATTGCTAAAGTGGTGAAGTCGCTTTTCAAAGGTGAAGAGGGGAAAAAAGTGAGTGCTAGAATGAAGCAATTGCAAGACGCGGCCATAAGAGCCGTCGGAGAGGATGGGTCTTCTACAAAAGCCCTGCGCCAAGCGCTTCTCAAGTGGAAAACACCTTTTTAATCATTTCCATATTTTCTCACTTTTTAATGATAAAATAAAATAAAATTATATGTTATTTTAAATTTAGAAGTTTATATTTTTATATAAACAGGGGGGGG